ACGCACCACCTCGGCCTTGTCAGGGGCATACCTGTCGGAAGGAGCCTTTGATAAAGATTGCAGTAAAGGCGCACCTTGAGACACGGTAAAGGCATGCAGCAGCCAATACCGGTGTGGATTCCACGCCAGCAGCAATCCGGAGCTATCACAGGAAAAGACAAGGCCCGAGGCCGCACTTAGTGCAACCACAGGTTCCTTGTGCCCAACGAGCATCCGCATGGAGTTGACCTCAAGAGAGTTGTCTCCCCTTTCCCGAGACATTGCCGCCTCCACCCTAGTCTCTTCCTTTTCCTCTTCCTCTGACGAGGAAGAGCGAGTGCCCAGCGCCCCCCCACCCTCACCCTCACCCTCCGCCTCCGCCTCGGCAGCGGTGAGAAGACAGTCACGATGTACAGGGTCGTTTACGTCCCACACATGAATGAAGCAATCCTCCCCAGCAGTCCAAAGGAGTCCACCGCCGCCGCATAGGCTGGAAACACAGAGGCAACTAAGCACCCCGCCTGTGTGACCCAAGAGGGCAAATGGCGCCTGCGTAGCTCGTCGCTTTCCAAGAGGCCAAACATGCACCACGGCAGATGCTGGGCCAACCGAGACAAGGTGGTCGTCACCCATGAGGACCATGTTTGCTAATTCCCCAGTGTGTTGGCCAATTTTCCCGGCAAACTCAAATGGATCCCTCAGCGACCATGAAACGAGGGTGCCGTCTGCAGAGCCACTGTACACGACATCATTCCCACCCACGGCAAAGCACGTGAGTGAAGACTGGGTGGTGGGTGGCACAGAGAACACCGTCGCTAAGAGACACTCCGCCACCTGTCGAAGTCGCATTCTGTGAGAGTCGAAACACCGTGACGGCACCCGTTTCGTCACCACACCACAGCAAAGAGTGCAGCGGGACGACAAGCAAGGCAGTTACCGACGCCGTCCTTCTTTGAACTACTGTTGCGATAGGTTTTCCAACCCAAAACTGAAACGCCTTCACAGTTCCCGTCTTACTTCCATAAAAAGCTATCGTGTCCTGCAATTGCCCACGCGGCCCAGGTGGCATACCCCCATCCGCTACGCATGTCACCGGCGCATCCCCGCACGCCTCAAATGAGTGTAGTAACAGACATCTCGTGGGGCTCTGGGCTCTCTGCTGCTTGCTCTTTTGCCCAGGCCCCTTCTTGACTTTTTGCGGGGAGCCTGGACGGGACATTTAATATTTTTTTTGTTGTTGTTCCGATTGCCTCATGACAGTGCCACCATGAATACAGTGTAAAGAAGAAGAAGAAATTAAAGAACATCATTATTATCCATTGTTGTTGTTGTTTTTTTTTTGCACATCTACGTCCCAGTCGTGGACACGTACACGCATGCAATAGGTAGCAAGAGGTGCAGCAAAGGAAAACTAAGAACGAAAGAAACGTGACAATAGGGAACAATACAGAATGTCTTCAAGTACAATGAAACACGAGATCCAGATCGACAGAGAGAGAGAGAGAGGGAGAAAGAAAAGAAACACACACACGCACACGCATACACGCAGCGGCGGATCAAAAGTAAAGGTAAAGGTCCGGTCACATTTCTTCCGCCACGTACACTCACAGAAGCACGCACGTGTTAGAAGGAGAATGCCACATTATACCGCTACCCCAACCTACCAGGAGGGGGGCGAGCAGTACGCAAACCCTCCAAATGAAACGGTGCGCCTGCGCCCCCCTTTGTCACTGACATTTGGATTCCTCAAACCATTATCCGCCGCATTCGTATTGAAACTGCTTGTGTCCTCAGCACTCTGTGGGGCGGTGCGGTGGTGACGCGAATCATTGTGATTGGAAGCATCGGCCGCAAAGGCACTGCCGGACTGCGGCCGATCCATTGCTGGTTTGGGGACCAGCGACATAAACAGTGCCGCCAGCGAACGAGCCCCGCGGCGAAGCTCGGTCTTTGCTTCTGCCGAAGTTGCTTCTTCTAGGGATTCTTCCACGTAAGGATGCTGAGAAGCAGCTACTATTGCTTCCTCTCCCACATTATTTCTGCTGCCGCTGGGGAGCCTTAGCAACTGCCCCCTCGATGAGGGAGAGACGTGAGCAGCACCGTCGGCCATCACATGTACCTTTACGTCTGTTGAAGCAGCAATACTTTGCGCTTGCTTGAGTGGCAAGGATCCGCCACAAATGCGTTCAAGCCTCTCATTTTCCTCCACAAGGATGGCGTTCATCCGCGCTTGATCCTCGTTTGTGGACTGCAGCTGTTGAATGCGAAGCCTCAAACCCGCATTCTCCTCTCGATAAAAAAAACAGCTTCTCCGGCATTCATCGAGTTCGGACTGGAGGTGTTCCAACGTGGACTGCGAGGGTCGTTGGGCACGGATGCTAGGGAGCGAGGCATCCACCTCAGTGTAAACTTCGCGGCGCGGTGCTTGCATGGCACTGATGCCGCAAGCATCATGCCCAAGTCTGCCGCCTTGAGCCGTATCCGAAAGAGGCGGGACATCACCGTGCAATACAGCAGCTGGAGGAAGCGGCATGGCACCATTTCCTGTTATCCAACACGTCGTGCCGCTCCCTGAACGCGATTGCTGCTGCTTCTCCTGTTGAGGCGTCGTGCGCACTGGCATGTGGGGACAAGACGCTTGGGAACGGGACGGACTTCCATGCGTGGAGTCATTCCTGCTCACTCTCGCAGTACTGGCAGCTGAAAAGCACGAGAGATTTATCGTGTCTCGCACAGTGGTGGTATTCAGAGAAACTGCAGGGCTGGAGGAAGACACCGCAGAAGCAGGTTTTGTCCAAGGCAGTGGTGGTAAGTCCACAACTTCCAGAGTCAGTGGCAGCATTGCGTGAACCGCGGCAAGGCGTCGTTTACTGTTCGTCACTGGATTCTCTGCAAGCGTTAAGGCTTTGAGCGAGGGAATGCGTTGGATGGGTGCCAGCTCTTCGACATTTTGAATCATGTTTTGCCGAACCTGCAGTTCCTCCAGAGCTCTGCACTTCTCCAACCCTGTGAGTGACGCAAGTCGATTGCTGGAGGCGTCCACGATGCGCACGGCCGCCGGAAGGTCCTCCAGCGTTGTGATTTGATTATGTGAGACCACCAACACTTCTAAATGCAGCAGTGGTGAGAGGCCATCCACGTCTGTCAAGACGTTGAAGGACGCATTCAGCTGCCGCAACGGCAGTGGAAGCCCATGTAAGGACGCAACGTTGTTGTTCGAGACATCCAACGAGGTTAAGTTGGAAAGCCAGCGCAGTCCGTAGAGGGACGAGAGGCTGTTGCAGGAAACATCTAGCCGAGTGATGGCGTTGAGAACCTCCCGTTCGTCGTCTGTAGAGAAGGCTGTGGGGTCAAAGTCGATGAGGTTTCTGTGCGAGAGGTCAATTTGCATGCGGGCGTCCTGTTTCCTCGTGACTCTGGTCTTCCTGTTTGGATAGGTCGTGTAGTACTGCGGGGGGTGCGCCTCGGCAGGCCGCGGGCATGCGAAGTGAGCCTCGCCACGCCTGCGGCTTGCTGCTGAACCGTGTGTTGTCGCCGCCGCCCTCGCCGCGGCACCCGAAAAAATCAAGGGGAAGAAGAGCCCCTCTCCACACACAGAGAGAGAGAGGGAGGGAGGAGAGAGAGAGAGAGAGAGAGAACCCTCTAAAGCAAACAGGAGGAATGGGAGCCGCAGGCAAAATAACAAGAAAGAAAGCCAAGACTAGAGAAGCAGGAGCAGCAGCAACGGCAGTCACCGCAAGGGTGACAGCACCAGCAACGGAATGGGGGAAGCGTGAGGGGATTATACAGAAAATAATAATGTGAGGAAGCGACGACAATGAGTGACCGGCAGTGCGAGAGCAGTTTTCCGGGGCCCCGCTTCTTTCCTTATAAATATATATATATATATATATATATATTTATCCTCTCTTTCTTTCTTTCTTCCTCTGGTGGGTAGAATAACCTCCTTCGTTCACGTGACTACCGTGAGGCCACCGACACCGCCTCTTCGTCCTCCTCATTGCCGTCGTCGTCAATGTCTTCGTTCTCGGCCCACTTCCTTGCCTCCCTATCCTCCCCGTCGGCAGCTGGCCCAGGCTTGCCCGTGAATTCCGCGCCTGGAAGCTCCACCAGGTGCACGGTAGCCATGCTCACAACATTGCCCTCTTCGGCAGGCAAGACGACATTGAAGTACTGAGGAAACGCCTGCACGAGGTAGAACACACCACCGTAGCGCTTCCGCACCGCCTCCTGGGCTCCACGCGGGAGATGCAGAATGATATTCGAACATGCCTTGGGGCCACGCTGTTGAAGATACTCGGCTACCAACCGCACGAGGTCCTCCTCTGAGAATTCCTGCCGAATGACGCCACGCGGCAACGGTAGCCCTGGTCGGCAGACACACCACTGCCCGGCCACCTGATATTCAAAGTGTTGAAAGTATTGGGGATAGTTGTTAAAAAAATTCCAAAACCGTCGCGGCAGGTAGTTGAGCAACTCCTCCGGGACATTCTTCTTGAGGAAGGTTTTGAGTGGCACGTGCCCCTTCTTGGGAAGGTAGCGATGCAGCTCCCGCGCAAGGTTGTCAGGGTCGTGAAAGGGGTTTGATGGATCATTCCGGAAGGCGATGCGACGGCGGATGGAACGGATCTTCTTTTTGTTGCGTTCATTAATGGCAATGGTCAGCTGCTCCTCAAGCGACAGCTGATCCTTATCGATGCGGTCTTTAAAGCGACGCCGCATCACCACAGACCCGTCTGCTGAAAGCGAAAATACGGCGGCATGGAAGCGAAAGAATTGCAGCAGCGTCCCGTAGAACAGTTTCACCTCTTCCTGAATGGGGGCAGGAAGGGACTCCTCGATCTGGCGAATGTCCACCTGTCCATCCAGTGGGACCAGGCGCAGGATGCAGTTGCAGCTCTTCGGCGTCGGCGTCGTCTCACACTCGAGGCCATCGTAAGCCGGCGGACGCAAAAGTACTGAGCCCCCGTCACGGTCAACGGCGAAAGCAAAAACATGCTGCATCTGAGCGAAATAAATAATAGCGGCGGGGCCTTTAAACGGCAACGTTGCCACCGCCGCAGGGCCCACGCGCTCCAAAAGAATCCGGAGCGGCATCCAACGCCCTGTGACACCCCCAAAGGAGGCAATGAATGGATTCAGTGCGGAGGGATTAGGTCGATATCGTGCAAAACGCTCTTCTGCCGCCTCGCAACCGTCCAGGGGGAACTTCGCATAGCCACCGTAGAGGCGAATATATTTTCGTCCAGCCACTGTGACTACCTCTGCAGCACTATGCTTAAAGTATCTTTCGATATGCTCCTCCGTATACCCAGGCATCTCCTGCAGAACTTCGGCCAACGGCACAAAGAACGGTGGAATGTACGAAACAAAACTACTAAGTGAGAGGACTGCCTCGCCCCCTATCATCGATGGAGAGGGTAATGTTGATATCGTCACATCAAAGTCCGGAGGCGGAGGCGGGTACTCGCGGAGCCCAACATCGTAGTAGAAGTCCACCGGTGGAAGATCGTTGTAGGCCTCCCCCATGGCTTTTTCAAGGGGCCGCACATAGGTCCCAACTACTTGATCAGAACTGGCACCAACGCCGCCATTGCCACGACTACCCGCAGTTCCCGTATCGCCACCGTGGACAGAAGCATTCAACACCTTTTTTGTTGCCTCACTTGACGGTGCATCAATGTCCCTCGGTGGGGTTCCCTTACAGAACATAAGACCCGCTTTATTCAGATGCACACCAAGCCCGGTGGTTTTCGACAATGCCGCAGCAAGTGTTTTGTGTGGCCGGACGTGGCGTCTGCGGCTATCGAGAGAGAGATCGTTGTAGAGGGTTCCAACCGGAATCCAAGTTCCAGCGGGAACACGCCCCAGGAGCTCCTTCAGTTCTTCAATAAGGCATGGGTGGACAGGTGGGTCGGCAGAGGCGTTGCTAAGCGTGCCGCAGTTCCTCCAAGGCGCGGAGCAAAGGATCCCTGTAGTGAGACTCACGCCACGACGCCTGAGACACCGCATGCAGGGGTAACGAAGCATCCTCGGCCAGGCTGCAATAGGTGTATGTAAGACAAAGGAAGCACCTTCCTTTTTATTGTTCCTTTCCGGTGGCTAAATTGCCCCTCTCCTCCCCTGTCGTTGATGTGGACTATTAAGGGTGCTACCACCCCCCGCCGCAGCCACCCAATAAGTGATGCGGAAAATAATAATAATAATTGAGAGAACCAAAGGCACCACGCTAACGTCAAAGGAAAGTTCCTCTCGTCCCAACAACGAGGAGGAATGCAAGGAGATCAATAGGAAGAGAGAAAATAAAACGACGCCGAGTCGGAAATACATACACACACGGGGTGCAATGGTGCTACCCGTAGTGTCATTTCTTTCTCCTCTTCTTGTTGTTGTTGCATCACCCCCCCCCCCCCAATCCTGGGCTCCTCCCGCCAAACCGCTTCTCGCCATGAAAGCTCTGATCGCACGATATGTATTGGGCGTGCCCCCGCTCACGTTTGCGGTGCGGAAGCTTAATTTGCTGAGGATACGCGACACACCTCTACGAGGTACACCGAGTGACGCACCCCACATGCGGCGTCCCGAATAGACTGTATCTTCCACCGACACTCCCCGGCAAACGGCACAGCACTTTTTACCTCATCACCAGTTCGAAGAAGAACCGTGGGACACAGCACGACATCCTCCGACTCCCCAATCCCGAGTTGCCCATGCATATTATCACCAAATCCAATAACAAGTGTGTTTTCCAGCAGAATGAGGTAGTGCTCCCTTCCTGTCATGGCCCGGATGGAAAGGTTTTTTGCCTCGTGAGGCAGTGGCAACGGGGTCCAGACGGGCACGAAGGAATCCTCTGCGCCCAACCCAAGCACGCCGCTCCCCATCACCTCCACCTCGGCCGGGGGCGTGGTGGTGTAGCGGAACAGTGCCTCATTGCCTGCGTGCAGAGATACTCCCTCCTTCGCCTCTTCACGCGGAATAGAAGAGGCGTCGTCTTCGAGAACATCACAGTAATAGCAGCCCCAATGGAAGGTTCGAATGCGACCTGCGTCTCCAGGTTCCTTCTCTGTAAATTTATTTTCTCGCAGAAGGGCCGAGGAATGCAGGTGCATCGCACGAAGGCTCACAATTTCACGAGAGCACATGCCCGATGGTGTCACCATTTGCTCAAGAAGGAGGGGGAAGACCACCGGCTGGAAGCACGAGGAGGAAAAGGGGGCTCGACGAGGCTTCATCGGCTTCCATTTCTTCTGCAGAGAGATCCTAAGATGGGCGTCCGCATCGCTTTCCTCCTGATGCAGCTGCAGCCCATGACACAGCGCGTACTGCATCGTCTTTGCCTTCGCCCGTAGCACAGACCACGCGTCTCCGTCGTAGCCAAGCTCACCAAAATCTCCCTTCCCTGCCGCCGCAATGAGGAGCGGGTACTGCTGTTGCTGCATCTCGTCATTGCCCTCCCGCACCACCACGACATCAGCAAAGGCAAGAAGCGTGTGGTGCGTTCCGCAGCTCATATGCGTCAACTGACCGCGTTGAATCAGACGACACCCGCCGATTTCGTCGCCCTCCCTGACGTCACTGTCGTTGACTTGTGCTGCAGTCAGCAGCGTCGCAAAGGAGTGGTGATCGTCCTCCGCTGGCAGACCAAGCTGGCCATCAGAGTTTTTGCCACACACAAAAAGTCCCCTCTTCGTCCATGCAAGGGTATGGTAGGCGCCACACTGGATGTCGATGACGGTTTCCCCATCGAAGAAAGGGATGCGGGTGGGAAGCGGCACAGACGCCGCGGAGCCGCGCCCCAAACCAAGCTGGCCGTGTTCGTTTAGCCCCCACCCATACACACCCGTCGTGGTGATGACAAAGTTGTGATACCCGCCGACGCGCACCGCACGGATGCTTCCCACCGTTTCTCCCGCCCCACGCTCCTCCGTCGCTCCGCGATCGCCCTCCCGCAGGACAGTCCCCAAAAAGAAGGGAAGAACTGTAATGCGGCTTTTTGACTCAAACGTGCCCAAACCTAGACGTCCGTCATTGCCGCAGCCGCAGACTGCAATGGCTACCTTTGGGGATGCGTTTTGCGCAGCGGGGTCATGCTGAATTCGCGACGCCGCCTCCATTGATAGGTCTTGCTGCCGCGTGATGCAACGAGGGGAAGAAGTTAAAGAAGCAAGAGAGAGAGAGAAGAAAAAAAAAAGCAAGCTCCAAGAAGTGGAGGCAGAGAGTAATGCGCAGAATAAATAACACACTCTTCTGCTGGCAAATTTAACCCCCGCACTCGATGGGAGGAAGATGCAGCCTGTTTCCCTCACCCCGCACAAAACCTACTGGAATAAACGAAGTTGGGAAAATGTAAAAAAGGAGTAATACTTCCACGCATAGTAAAAGCTTGATCGTGTATCTGATAGCAATCTGCAGGTGGGCCGCCTGTGTTCCCAGTGGTTTATCGAACCTCGAGCAGTTCACATGCTCTCTCCCCCCTACTTTTCTACCTACTCTCCAAGGCGCAAAAGCGAAAGGAAATAAGGAATAGGAACGATAGACAAGGAAGCAGAGAGCATGAGAAAGCACCGCAGCCTCGTAACTAAAACCATGCCCCCCTCCCCTCAAGGGAGAAAGGGAGAAAGCGAGAGGGAGAGGGAGAGCTGGCCCGCATGTGGGAGAGAACCGACAAGCAGCTAATATATGTGTATTTTTTTGCTATTATTGTTCTTATCCGTGTCTTCTTCTTCGAGAGTGTGTGTATGTGTGTTGCAGTTGATTTTTTTCTTTTTTACTTTTTTTAAGTTCTTTTTTTTTTTTAGCTTCCTCCTTCTCCTCCTCTACCACAATCACGAAATTTGTTAGCTTCTCTCAGCCATTTATTCGGCGTTTAACGATTACCCCATTCACACCCCTCCCCCCACCCCACTCCGATGCCGCAGGAGCGGGAGAGTCCTTCTTTCCGGCCAGTGTTTTCCTTTTCGGTTCACGGCGTCACTCAGTCCACGCCGAGACGACGCCGTCCTCAGTGGCGGTGAACACCCACGGCAGCGTCGGGTGCCACGCAATGGCGTAGACCCCGCGGCGATGCTTTAGGATCTTCACAGGCACCAGCAACGGATTCTTGTTGTAGTCGTCGTAGACCATGCCGTGGAAGACGTGCACCTGACCGTCCGACGCGCCAGAGGCAAAAAGTGGATAGGCGTTGGTGTTGGTGTGGAACGCTACGGCGTTGACCACCCCCTTGTGGGAGCGCATGCGCTTGTAGGGCTTGTCGGAGAAGTCACAATCGTACCACTGCGTGTGGCTCGTTGTGTCACCGACCAGGAAGTTGTCCCCTTCGGTATGCACGGACAAACACGTCGTAATCCCTCCTGGGGCCTTGTACCGCCGCTGCAGCTTGTGAGCCATAAGGTTATAGACCCTGACAGAATTTGTCGTCGCTAGGAAGAAAAGTGGTTCGCGCGGGTGAAATTTGCAGTCAGTGACGATCTCCGAAAATTTACGGAACGGACAGAAGACCTTTCGCTTTGACAGCTGCAGCATCACCGTCTGGCGGTACTTGACGTGGTCCTTCGGGCAGAGTGCACAGAGGTAGTCGCCACGGGCGTGGAAGGTGAAGCGCTTCACCTTACCGTGCAGCGCAATTTTGACTACAATACCGGCACTGCGCTCTTGGGCCGAGGCGTCAACAAACTCCGCGCGCTTCTCCCGTTCCTCCGTGTCATGAAGGTCATGCAGGAGACGATGCGCAGACTCGTCCTTGTCAAGTGTCATCTGTGTGATGCCTCCTCCCCCAAGTGATGTTTCGCCGCCCGCGATGCGAGTTTCCGTTGACTGCGTTTCTGCACTACCAGGGGCACGAAGGTAGCGAATCGTGTGCTCGTTCACTACCTGATGGGCGGCAAACGTGGGAACAATAAACACCAGACTGTACTCCACGGCAACCGCTAATATGTTGAGCGCCTTGACTGGACAGAACTCAACTTGCTGCACCGGAGCTCCCATGTCATAGCGCTTCATCAGCCGGCCTGTCATTACCTCATACACACGCACTAAATGATCATCGCAACCAGTCGCAAGAAATTGCCCATTCGGACTGACCGACACACTGCGCACTGTCGCCGTGTGGCCCTTGTACTGGAATGAAAGCCGCTCTGGATACGGTCGAAGGTCCTTAGGATCCGGCAAGTCTGGTAGAAGTTTCGAGGGATCCACAACCAGCCGGGTACGCTGTGCGCGGGGAAAGAACGCGAGGTCAAGACAGCGTTGGTACCGATCCTGGATCGTGTGGTGATAGAAAGGCACATGTCGTAGTGCATCAAACGCCTGTGGCAGGAAGTGTTCCTTTCTGTCAATTGGACGCAGCCTGGCAAACCGCTGCCGCGCCTTTTCACTTGGAAGGTACTCCGGCGGCGGACGATAGCTCTCATATGTGCCTGGTGGCGGGGCCTTGGGCTTCGGAACGCGGTGTTGATACTTGTACTTTGCGTGGGCCTCCATCTCCATCTTGCTCTCGTCCCAGATCAGAGGCGACTCCTCCGGCAGCGTCTCCTCCTTTTCATCGGTTTTGTTTGCTTCAGCCTTCATTAGACGACGCACCATCTTTTCAATGACTTTCATGTCGTGTTGTGCGGGAACGAACTTTTTCTTTGACGGCCCGCCAGCGCGCGCCAAGGGGTGATTGAGCGGATCAAACTCAACGCCATCCGTCACTACATCGGCGTACATGTTGTAGTTGGAATTTGGGGTGCGGTTGCGCTGCAGGTTGAAGATCATCTGCAGATCCGCGTTGCTCAGTGTTTTCTTTTCGTCATGCAAAGCGTCGTAGATGGTGCGCAGCGCGTTCGGGTCATCCGTCGCCTCCAACAGACGCTCCAGGGCGGAGCGTTCGCTCTTCATCAGCTTGCGGCCCTCAACATCATAGCCGAAGTGCGCCTCATCCTTGTACCACTCAAGGGGGATGTCCCCGACGCGGTTAAGCGTCGCCTCATCCTCGCTGCTGTCCGACTCGTCCAACTTCTGCGTTGTGCCGACACGAATGAGGTTCGAGGCGGCCTCCGGCCCCTCCGCGAGGTCTTGCGCGTCGGGAAACAGGAACACGCCACCGTCGCCGTCGTTGTTGTCGTCGTCGCTGTCGCTCCAGATGACTTCGTCCCGCAGCGCCAAGGCCGTGGTGGGCGGAAGGGCCTCGCTCGACGGCGCCTCCTCAACCACCGGCTGCCGCGGGGGCGGTGTCGAGGGCAATGCCTCGGGCGGGGCCGCTGCTGCCGCTGCCGCTGCCGCTGCGTCTAATGGCGGTGTTGCCGCACGTGAACGGGGGGACTTTTTCCCGGCTCTTGCAGCAGGCATTTCTCGGGCCACACGCGGTGTCTCGACGCGTCGCACGCCGCGGGACGCAGAAGCACGTTTCGGGGGCATTCCTTGAACTCTGCCACGGCGACGCCCGTCGGGAAAACACGGAACGAGAAGAAGAATGAGAAGGGGGAAAAACAAGAGAACAACACCTTCGAGGAAGACAGGAGAAGGTCACACCAAACCACAGCCGACCTGCTGTAGCAGAAATAAGAGATCCCCGCTTCTTATGCGCCTTGGCAGCCCCCCATTTTCTCCCTCACGCTCTCTCTAGTGGCAGCAACAAGAAGAACAACATGAAAAATATGTAACAAGAGAAATCAAACCACGTGGATCCTCCAGCGAAACACAACCTTCAAGACGGGGCGGATGTGTGACACGTGAGAGATGTCCCCAGTCTCGCTTGCAGCTCCGCAGACCCCGCAATAAAACGCTGCAGCGGACCCTGCACAGATGTCATGGCACAATTCTGTCTCTCTCCACTCCAGTGCGTCATGCCTCCGTCGGGAATTGTACCCCCCACCTGACATGCGAAGTGAAGTTGACGTCGAAGGGAGTTATTTTCCTTCTCAAGGGTGCACCGCCGGCGCCGCTCCGCCTCAAATTCAGCCTCAATACGCCGCAGTGCCTCCGCCGCACAGTGAACAACCCGTTTAATGTCATCGATGCAAAGCCCCTCTAGGGATTCGACACTGGCTGTTAAGACCCCTGATTGATCCGCGACACAGTCTTCGCCAGGACCGGCGGCAGCAAGCTGGGCCTGGGCAAGGCGTTGCTCAAGTTCCTCAATGCGTTTTGCCTGCAACGATGTCGCCTCACGAAGGCGAACGACTTCTTCGGCAGCTGCAAGAGCTTCCTGCTCGTGCAATTTCGCCGTGGCGCAGAACTTCTGTGCTTTAGTCTCGGTTTCCAACAGACACCGCTGCAGGCTACGCGCCCAGTCTCGTTCTGCGGCCCGATCCATCGTTGCCCCACACACCACCTCCATCTTGCGTATATTAGGATCGCTCTCCCTCAACCCACACGATGCTGGGTTCGACGTGCTTCCTCCTCTAGCGGAAGAAGCGGCTGCTATTGTAGTCGATGGCCCTCCGCAACGATTGCTGCAGTTAGAATATAAAGTGCGGGGTGGCTCCGCCCCGGCGGCGAAGTTGGCCTCCACCGAGAGATGCCCCACCGTGGTTGGCTTCTCCGTCTTCTCACGCAGCGGCGGGGAGGCGGCGTCAACGCTGGGCCACTCCTGCGTGAGAAGACGGAGGTCCCTCAAGGGGGGCGACGCGAGAACTGGCGACGGCGAGCAGCCCGCACCCTGACGGCCTCCGCCACCGGCTGCGTAGAAGCGGGCAGCGGCCTGCATCGTCGTGCTGCTGGCGGGCCACGCCTTCACGCCGCTCCAGAGTCTGTGCCACCCTGCCGAAGGAACGGAGCGGCACTACCGAGAGGGAGAGAGAGAGAGATGGAGAGAAAAAGTGATAGAGAAAAGAGGCACGCACAAAGACGCCAGGAAAGCGGAAAAAAAAGAGCAAAGGCACCCCGGCCCAAGTTGCGTTAGCAAATCCGCCACGGTAAATAAACACGCAAACAAGCACACGGAAATAAAAACGAGAGGAAATCCACATTCAAAAAAAAACGTCTAACTACAAATGCCAGCGGACGCAAAGAACAGATTTCTAGCATGTTCAGAATTAAAATGTGTAGATCTATCATCGTTAGCATCCTCCCCCTTTTGTGGCAGTCGTGCCCGCACTCTTGCAATCAACCTCTGCTCCGAATCCTTCTAC